TATGAAACGGGGCAGTATGTGGGAGTAGATCCGTTGCAAGCAGGTAATGCGGTGCAGCTTATACTGGTGCTGGGATTAACATTGGGTTGGATATCGACTTACATCTTTAGGGTCGGTAACAAGGAGATGACTTATGCTCAGCAACTCCGTGACTACGAGTCTCAAGTCATGCAGGTTCGGGCTTTCTCCCAAAGAATTTAGCTCTGAATTGGGGGTTTATGTACATTACCTAACATATGGTGCGTTTGGTAATGGACAGAAACGGTTAGAGAGCTTATCGGAAGCAGAGTTAGAGGCATTGATGGAACAGGTTGATGAAGAGAAGAGACAGGTTTGAGTAGGCTTTCTTCTTGTTCCATCACCTGCAAAATTAGTAAAAGAATCACAGCAACAGTTTTTCAAAGTAATTTTCCTCTGTAACTTTTTGATTTTCTCTCTTGTTATCAATGTTGGTTGTATAATACACAAAAGAATGCAAGTCAAAGAATATGTTGAAAACGGTTAAAGTAATCAGTTTATTAGACTCAACTCAGAGCACACCACAAGGGCTTTATACAAAATGAATTAAAACACATGAACAAAAATGAATCAAATGAAATATGGAATGATGAACAATGTGTGCCTATGCGCGCACAAGGAAGATTTTTCGACTTATATCTGACCCGAATGCCTTACAAGCAACGGGAACTCAGGCGAATCCGGGTGAAGTCCTTTGACTAGAGCTACAAATTTGAGTACACAGTCAATGCTGAAAAACTTGAGCTTCCGTGTTACAGAATTCATTGTCATGTTTCGTCTGGTCTGTAATGTTGAACTCTTCAGACTGATCTTCAGTGACAAGCATGGGCTTCCTCGCGATTCAATAACCTGGATAGTAATCAAGTTTGTACATGAGAAAACAGAAGAAGAACTGACATAAGTGAGAGCAGAGGGCAAGAATTAAAACAACTTTGTTACCATCTCAGATATGTCGGAGATGGAGCAGCTTGTGTCAAGTGAGAAATATGGAGCAGAAGAATCATCTTTTGGCAGAGAACTCAGCTGCCTGAAGTCTTCATTGCATATGAAAAGATGTCCACCCGCCACAAATAGTGACCTTGAAAGCCATGACACTTCTGTTCAGTTTAACAGAGGAAAATTGATTAACACTATTGTAAAACAGCGCTGAGACAGCTTGAATTGGATTTACTTGTAAGCTAGTAAGAGAAAAACAGTTTTCTCACTCAAGGATATCAAAGCTATGTTGAGAAAGAAATACCTTCAAGAATGCTGCTTTGAAAATGGAGAACACTATACTGGAATATACTCTGCTTTAAACCACTGCATATTTCTTTCTCAAACAATTCCACTTGAACATTTTCCAAACTGACAAATAAGTTTCAATACATGTCAAATCCGAAAATGGAAGAAGCAATAGTAAAAGAGTTGAAGAAAAAGATGGTGATAGTTCACCTTCCCAAAGAACAACTGGATTCTGTAGCCTGAGAATCCAAGACTTTTATGATATTGAGTAAAGCTGTTGTTTTTTCAATGCTCTTCGTTATGAAAATGTACTCTGCGTCCTCCCTAAAGCGTAGCCTAAACCAGAAGGAAAGAGAGAGGTTAGGGACATGAGCACAAAATCAACTTTATAAGCGGAGCCATAAAAGACTAACCTCACAACCTGAAGTCCTAGACCAACCGAGACGTCTTGTATGTCATCGATTGTATGTGAACACAATAAACTTAAGTTTCTCTCTGCATACACCACATGTCAAGGAAAAGTAAGCCAACATCAACAGACCATATCATAGTTGGACATAAAGAATAAAAGAACATGGGGAAGATCAGTCTAACCTTGTGAATCAGTAGAGACACCGACGAGCAGCACATGTAGTTTTTCTTGGCTACTCAGCAGCAACACTACTTCCCTGCATTTATAGAGTACTGTCAGGGGGAAAAGAAGAGAAGTAATCCTAGTATGAAATGGCTTCTCAAGACATATTATAGTTAGAAAACTAAAGAACAAATTATTCATACATGTGAATCACAATCCATCAACCAGTTTTTCATTTTCAAATTGAGTATTAAGAAAGCCTATCAAGTATCAATTCTAGAGAAGCAAAATCTATGCGACTTCAGTGGCTTTTTTCTACTCTGCATGTCCCTACCAAGTATCATAAGCCTTTAACTAAAGATAGAAGGGACTCACACTACTTTTTTTCACCTAGAACTACAATAATAAGGGTTATAAAACTTACCGCTGTTTGTAGGTGGATTCTTGCTGTAGTATACAATCACAACTAACGTAAATCCTACAAGTCTCATAAATGGTGGAACCTGACAGTGTCGTTTTAAAATATTCCTCCACTAGACCACCTATCACTTCAAGGGAATTTTCAGTTCCCAAAAGTCTAGTAGTGCTCTCGCTATTACAAGTCTTAGTCATGGATCCTTCTTGTAAAATATCAGAAACATACCCATCGTCACAAGAATCACTGATATCTGCATCACTTCTATGAGATGTTTCTCCATTATTTATGAAACTATTCTCCTCCAGTAGAGAAACAACTCTTTTTTTAGTCTTTCTCTTGCTTTTCCTTTTGTCAAACCAATGGTAAATCTGGTTAACACCAGAAGCAAGCTCACTATTATGTAGTCCAGAAAGAATTCTAGTGGTCTTTGCTTTGAATGAATCATCTACCCTCCAAGTCTTTATGATGCTACTTTTCTCTGGTTGAGAATCAAGCAAGCTGGTGCCTTTTTTAGTAGATCCCAGAATCTCCTCCTCGGGTCTATTCCCATTAAGATGATCCATCAACGTATCCTGTTCAGGATTTGATGGCTCAGAATCATAATTTTCATTTTCACTGCAGCTGCTCGTGCTATCAGACGATGCCACTGAATAAGAATCTGCTGATAGCTGCAAGATTTCTTCCACCAGGTTATGACGTCGGTGTAAGACATCCTTTTGATAATGAGGGGGTGATCGCACATATGTTGAGGGTGAAATTGATCCTGTCATTTCCTGACTAGCATCCAGCGTTGACATGTTTCCATTTTCACCTGCTTTACCATCAAGAAAAAATGCTTGATGCTTCTGATTCAGATCTGTAATTTGGAACCCTGGTAAAGGCCCTGGTGCATATCTCAATGTTTCACCATGATCGTTTGCACTGTTTCTATTCTTTGTGTAGTAATTTTTCTCTGAATCAATGCTCCAGTTGTCGTTTCTGACATCCACAAAATCCTCTGATGGATGATCCATCCACTCCTTAAACTCTCGCAGCCACAGAACAGAACGTTCTTTCTTCAACTGTTCGACTTTATTTATTAGACCAAAGATATCAGCTCCATGATTAGACTTGATATTATCCTCTTTGCTTTGAGTCTCGGGTTCGCATGAAGCAGACTCTTGATCGGAATGCACATAAGTGCTATCTTCCTCACTATCAATAGACGCGAGCCGATAGATTTTCGCCTGTGAAAAGAAAAAAGAGAACGATAATAAGCTTTCAATAACTAATTACACCACATATCAAACCAAGAAACTGAAAATCTGAAAGACCACATAGAGAAGCAGCCTATCGAGTGATGTGTATTTTCACGATGCTTTTCAAATAACCATTCCATACTACAACTGCCTAATTGGTTTGGATATATTGTTATGTTTTTCATGCTTAGGGTTTAGTGCCACGCTGGAGAAAGGGCCACTACAGCCACGAGCAGATTATAAGATATGTAAATAAACTTGAAATGAACGTTCTGCCAGTTACCTTCTTTCTGTTAAAGCTTCCTTCGTCATCAGCTTCACCTCTAGCTGGAGAGTAGAACCCATAGCTGGCAGGCTGACTTTTCCTACGGGTAACAACAACCTGCCTCTTCCAAAACTCTCTATTCCCAATGTGTTTGCCATCTAGCTTCAACTGCAAAGCCACACAGATAGAAAGAAGCATTTTAAACAGAAACTAAAATGGTGCAACTTCTGTCTTTTCAACAAGTTTCAATAGTCTCTAAAACAAAACTTACATCATTTGGAAGAGCAACGTAGCTGAGAACTTGTGCCCTGTACCATCGAGCACAACAAAATGGATTTCCTTCCAACCACAGGTCTGTCAAGAATGAAAGACTCCCAAGGAACTCCAATTCTGAAAAGTTGGAAATGATATTGAAGGAAACATCAAGGCCTTCAAGTGACTTCAAATTCTCAATCCCACGTAATGTAGTTAGCGCATTGTTCCTCAAAACAAGTTTAACAAGGTGACAGGATACCTGCATAGTGCAAAAAATAGGTGTAACTAACACACGCAAATCGTAAGCAACTTCAGACTGAAAGAAATCTATAGATGGACATGCATAAACCTGAAGTTTCCCACCTCACTCAAGTGAGAGATTTTTCTAAGTTGATTGAAACCCAGATCAAGGTGTTTCAACTTGGGACATCTCCGAAGATTATCCACTTTTGCAAACTTGTTTCGACTCAGATCAAGCGACTCAACAGCTGGAAGAAGTTGCAACGACTCATCCATGAGCAGGAGACGGTTACAAGCACATGAAACGAAAGCCAGCTTGTTCCACTGTGGTGAATCCTTAATCTCGGCGATTCTACTAGCGAACACATGCCGCAACGCATCCTACATTTGGTGGAAACCTGGAAAAGATTAGTCAGGGACTTCCAAAACGATTCAAAGACAATCAAAACAAATGAATAAACTCAAACATCATCAACCTTTTCGTCCTGAAACCACTGAAGAAAAAACTTCCACCGTTCATTGGCCATTCCAAATATACTAATAGTTCAATTTCCCTACATGATCCTAAAGCAAACACAGAACTATAGCCCCACTCAATGCCATAGCAGAAATGCACTAAACGAAGGATTCAAAAATCAAAAGAATTAAGAGGAAAGCTCACAGTGGAATTATGGCAGATCATCTTCTCCAATGTATGTCTGAGTTCGAGCAATCCTTTGGCAGACGAAGCAGACAAATCACACCCACGAAGTTCCAAGACCTTAAGCCTAGCAAAGGGAAGAAGAGAGAGCGGCGTAGGATCACGAGCCGGTGAAGGAAGCGACGAAACGACCTTAAGAGAAGGGAGGAGACGGAGAATACGTCGGAGCTGCTCGAGTGCACGGTAATCTCCGATGTCGGAAACGTAAGCGCGGAGATAGTCAACGGGAGCTCCGGCGAGCATACGCTCGAGTTCACGGAGAGATTCGAGACGGAGATGAACATAGTGAAGACCCGCGGGATTCAGTTTAAGAACATCGGTACCATCAATAAGCGATTCAGCTTTCTCTTCAAGGAACTTCTCCAAATTCTCCAGATATCGATCTCCCGTTACGATCGCCATGAAAATCGAAGGAGATTAGAGATTTGACTCCACCGAAAACCGAATTGCACGGAGATTAACGCCGAAACGAAATGGCGCGCACCGTCGCTAGAGATTTGGGCTGATGGCAGCAACCGCCATGGATGATGCGAAGAGAGATAGAGACGACGATGATCGGAGGAAAATAGGCAAATAAAATAAGAAACAGCGAGGATGGTTCTCTCTGCTAAACAATCTGGGACGAGACTGATCATGCCACCTGGCTTCCATGCCTTGATCAAAAATACGAAGAGCATTAATCAAGATTTAGTTGTTGAAGTTGGGATGGTAAAATTATTTAATTATTTTTAATCTATTAGCTAATTATTTTTAATCTATTAGCAACTTATTTTTGAAGTGTTAAAATACTAAAATTAGCAACTCAATATTTTTTTAGCATTTTAGCATTGAATAACATTGAGTTTCTAATTTTTGAGGTCGTTAAAGGTTAAAAACAATTACATAGTTAATTTTTGAGGTTCTAAAGATTATTTCATTGTTTTTAACCCATAACAACCTCAAAATTCTTAGTAAGTATTGAATAACATCACGTAATCAATGATTAGTAAGTAAGTAATTGTCTAGAATATGTTATTTCAGCAATAAAAAAATAATAAGGTTATTCTAGCTATTTAAAAAAAAAGGTTATTCTAACTAATTTCCTTTAATTATTTTTTAATACCTATTAACCAATAGTGATTCAGATATTAAATATTTTCAATTAATATTTTTTGTTATCATTAATTAACAAACAATATCATTTAATAATCTAAAACATTAATCTTTGTAGAACAAAAAAAAAACCAAACATCAATTTTTAAAGAACGGAGTAAGTAGAATAAATAACAAAGTTAATATAGCTCGATTGTCAAGGAAAAGCTTACGGTCGAGTTCACCCTATTCTCTTAGGCACTCTCCCCGAGGAGCCACCGTCAACGACAAATACAGCACCTCCGTTGTTGCTCCGCCATGCAGACCTTCTTCTTCTCTTGTAACACCGCTCGACCTCCGTCTGGACGCCTCGAAGTGCTCCTGAAGAATGGCCCCACCTCTGCCGGAGTTGTTGTCGCCGACGAGGCTCATATCTCGGCCCACTCGACCTGTCCCGTGGCTCGTAGATCTGGATCGAAGGGTGTGATATCATCCCTCCCGTCACCAACGGCTATGGGCTTGACAGAGATTCCTTCTCACGCACTGAGATTGGACTGTCCGGCCACTTCGGAACTCTCTAAGCCGTGGGAGCCTCCGGATCCACCTATCCCTCCTGACCCGCCGCCTCCGCTCCAGTCTCTGGCTTCCTATTATGCTCCGCCGACTCTCTCACCGTCGCTCACACGCGAGACTCCTGAGAACGAAGAACCTTCCGCCGTCGCCATCCCACCACCTCCGCCCCAGTCACCGGATTCAAATGTTGCACCGCCGACTCTCTCATCATCCCTCACACTCACCTCTCCTGAGATCGGATCGAACCTCCCTCTGCTTCGTTCCAAACCGACCAGATATCTCTCCGGTAACATCCTTCCGTCGATGTCGACGAGATCTGAAGAAGTTCAGATGTGGTCTTGGCCCATGAGGAATTGGAAACTTGGGCTTGGTTTCATAGGTCCAATGTCATTTGATTGGGCTTCCATGAGAAATATAAAAGTTGGGCTATTTTTATTTATATTAATAGGTCCATATCCAATGTTTTTAAAATGCAGATTTTTAAAAATATTATATGCTTTTGAGTTTGTTGATTTTTTTCTTTTGAAATAAACAAAGTTTTCTGATTCTCAAATCCTGTAGTTTTTAATTATTATATCTCTTCTCTTGTGAGCAGACACAAGTTTTCTAGGTTCTCAAACCCTGTAATTTACTCCCGGTGGAAGAGTCAAATTTCACCGTCTTCCATCTCTTTGAGACTGGTTGTATCTTCTACCCTCTCCTTGAGAGTGGTCGAACTCCCGAGCTTTTTGCCGGGATCTTCAAAGTCACATTCAGACGTGACTACCCTGAGACTCTCCGGCCTTGCTGCGAAGTCCTTCTGGACGCATCCGAGTCATACCTTGGATCCGCTGTCCAGCATCTTCTGTGATGATCTATCTGTTCTAAGTTTTATTGCTTTTCAATTATGTTGTAGTAATGCTGGAGGATGCTTAATTTTTCTCTTTTGTACTTTGATCGGTTAAATGAATTAAGTAATAAAAAAATTAAATAATAGAAAATTAGGGAAAGCTTTTACATCTCTACTTTTAGTGGCCAACTTAGCAATATTTACACCAACTGAGAAAAGTGGTAGATAAAAACAAACATTATAGTGTTACTTGTGGCTGAATTGTTCAAAAACAAACAATTATAATATACTAATTTTTAGGCTACTTGTGGCTGATTTGGTCCCAAGTAATAAAACTTCTGGCCATTTTGTAACGGGATGGTCTTGTTCAGTGGATACTAATCACTTGACTTGTAACATGAGGGTTATGGATCGGTTTGACCTGGGTTTCTTGTTTTTCTTGCTATATGTATCTATATATTTCTTAAAAAACAAACCTCTCAGTAGTCACCACAATGCATAATCGATCATTTTAGAATGGATGAAATTATGTTTCTTTTTTTTTTTGTTTCATTCCCTAATTTTTGTTTAATTCGTCATTCTTGTGACTTTATAGAATTAAAACTTTAAACATCTATCTTATGTCTTGATTGGCTTCGTAACATTTGCAATGGTTCGTTTTTTTAAATAAAAAAATTAAGAAAAGACGTCTTTGAACTTTTTTTTTTTTTTTGTCAACAATCACCATTATATTAAATCAAGTTGTTGTCGATTGGATGGTTTCTCTGACGGGCAACC